TGCCTCTGCGGTTGACCACGTGTCCCAGAAACTGTCCGGAACTCACACCGAACGAGCACTTGGTTGGATTGAGCTTCATCCCATATCGCTTCAGTACATCAAATACATCTTGCAGATGCTTCAGATGATCATCCTTCTTCCTACTCTTTACCACCATATCATCAATATAGGCTTCTACAATCTTTCCCATTTAATTCTTAAAAATTTTGCTAACAAGTCTTTGATAAGTTGCTCCCGCATTCTTTAGTCCGAAAGGCATAACTTTGTAGCAGTATGTTCCTCGCTCGGTGACAAAAGAAGTTTTTTCTTCATCTGCGGGGTCCATAGGGATCTGATTATAACCTGAATAAGCGTCCAGAAAGGTTAAACGCTCATACCCGGTGGTGGCATCTACCATTTGATCAATCTTAGGCAGCGGGAAGCTGTCTTTCGGACAGGCTTTGTTCAAATTGGTGAAATCAATGCATACTCGCCATTTCCCATTCTTCTTCTGCACGACAACGACGTTGGACAACCAATCAGGGTAGTGCACTTCTCTGATAAATCCCGCATCAAGCAGCCTATCGACTTCTTCCGCTATGATTTGATTACGTTCTGGAGCAAATCTTCGCTGCTTCTGTTTCATTGGTTTGAAATTGGGATTAACATTCAGGGAATGACAGGATACGAAGGGACTAATTCCAGGCATGTCTAGGTGACTCCATGCAAATACGTCGGCATTGTGGGACAAGAAATCCACTAGCTCTTGCTGCTCTTCTCTGGTCAGTCTTATACCTACTCTGGTAGTTCGTTCTGGCCTGGACTGATCGATCTGCACATCCAGAAGGGGCTCCCCGGTCAAGTCGACTGACTCCTCCACCCTGTTCTGCTCGGGCGGAGGTTCCTGTAATTGCTATCTGGGGCTTGCCGAACGGACGGGCGCCTTCCCTTTCCCAGCATGCTTTAATGTGACGGAATAACACTCTTTGGCTGCGACCTGATCCCCCCGAATGTCTATCACTTTATCTCCATCGGGTCCGAGGCACCTCATGACCTGATGCAGAGTTGAGAGTACACCTTGGACTCTGTGAATCCATCCTCTTCCCATCAGGAGATTATACGAGGGGTGAATTTCTACAACCACAAAAGTTTCCATAAGAGCTCGTTCTGCAGCTTGAACTTCCACTTCCACCATCCCGACGGGCTCCACCCTCTTCCCATCGAACCCTAACAAGGGATTTCCAGTGGGCTTGAGCCTCTCTGGTTTAATCTCGAGCCTATCAAATGTGTCCCTCGGCATGACATTCGCACTGCTCCCAGGACCGATCAGAACTCTGCGCACCAAGCAGTCCGCCACTGTTAAACTGACTACCAACGGGTCTTCATGGGGCAGTTGAACACGCTGCAGGTCTGTCCAGTCGAACTTTATCTGCATCGACGAGCTCTGCTGGTGTAGAGTATTCACACTGCTGACCCTTTTCTTCATCTGCGCCTGCCGTAGGCGCGCCCGGAGTAGCTCATCTGACTCTTCACTAGGCTCGGGTCGACCATGGATAGCATTGATTATACGAACTGGTTGTGAATTGTGGGAGCTTTGTTTATGACTCCTTTTTATTTGTTCCACCAGTCGATTCTGCTCTATCGCCGAGCCTTGAACATAACTTGCGAACTCCCCTCTAGCTATCAACATTTCCACCTGCCTCCTCAGGTTCCTGCATTCGTTAGTCTGATGACCGAAATCGGAATGGAAAGCACAATGTTTAGTTTGATCCCTCTGTTCGAGGGGTTGCCTAATTGGCAGTGGTGGATGAAACTTATCTTTGTTCTCCTGATACAGCCTCGCCAGAGTGACCTTCAGCGGAGTAATCAGCTCTTCCTCCCTGGACCTTTTTTCTGCCTTCCAAGAGGTCTGACGTTGTGGCTGAGCCTGCTTCTGCCTGATCTTTGCCTTGGACTTTTCCTCGGTCGACACTAACGACGCTGTCTGAGCATTAGCTGCCTCCTCTTCTTCTAGGCGCACAAAGCCATCGGCTCTTTCATTGAGTTCATCCATAGTAGTCGGCGTGTTCACTACCAGACTGGTGTGAAACGGAGTTCCACGTGTCATGGCTAACTTGAAGGCTTGAACTGCTGTAGAAGGGTGGCATTCGATCACCATACTCTTAGTGAGATTAAACCTGGTAAGAAAAGCCTGGAGACGTTCATCTTTGTGCTGCCTCATCGTGAATAGGCTCGAGATGTCCTTCGGCGGGCGCTTGTTCCCATAGTACTGGCTTATGAACCGATCGCACAGGTTTCTGAAGCTACCAATGGAGCTCCTAGGCAAGTTTTTGAACCAGCTGAGCGCCGGTCCGGCTAGGCTTGTAGGGAAACATTTGCACATTAAAGAGTCGTTTTCCGTATTCAGGGCCATTTTCAACTGGATATGGTACACATGATCGATCGGATCGGTTGTTCCGTCAAACAGAATAAAGACTGGCATAGCAAACTTCCTTGGATGCGGGGCATTCAAGATCTCGTCGGTGAATGGTGAATCAACCGTCCAAGCTGCGGATCGGAGAGCTTCATTCTCTCTCTGGAGTCCAGCGGTAGCTCTGTGAGTTACGGTTCTGCCCTCCGAACCGCGATGAGTGATAGTAGCCATGGAGGGCCGGTAAGACGGATCGAACGACCGTTCCTCTATGAACTCTCTTTGCCAAGGCGACGCTACTCGACGGCGATCAACCTCTATCACTTCCTCTCGGTCGAACCTTTCCCGATGCGGATCGAAGGTTATGGCTTCATTCCGTCTAATCTGCTCATGTCGCGAATCAACGTGAGTCGATCCTTCGTGATCCTCAACTCGATGAACATTTGGCGGCAAATTGTCCATCATCCTTTCATCACGGTGGTGAGCTGACTGATTGTTCTCGTCCTGTTCGCCTTGACGCGCGATATTAGATTGAACACCTCCTTCACCGACCGGAAGCGGATGTGAAACCGCAGGTACTTGCCGATGTTGCATTCCAGCTTTCAATTATGCATTCTCTTTTTTGAGAGCTTCAATCAAGTTCATCAACTCCTCAAGCTTTGTTTGCTGGACAGCCTCCATCGGATTGGAGCTTTCACCTATCATTATTCCTGAACGGAGTAAAGGCATTAATCTCAAGTTCGCGAGTAGATCCCAGCTTCGTGAGTGGGAATTTTTCAGATCTGGTTTCGAATTCTCCGAATTATGCTCACCGTTTACGAGATCTGAATTGTCTAAACTCTAAATCCGTCAGATCCCGCCACAATCGAACAACTCGTTGTTGCGTAGATCTGAAGCCACTTCTGCCAAAGCTTCAAGAATTGTAATTCCTCCAGAGTAGGTCACAATCGCTCAGATCTGGATCCAAATCCCAAAGATCGAGTCTCGATCAACCGAATTGGTCTGAATCCACTCGATATTCCTCATTGATCAACCAAACTTCCATGCGATTCCCACAGACGACGCCAATTGAAGATGCAAGAAATTCATTCCCTCTTTCTCTCTCTAGAATTCTTACACTTCAACCAAAAGATCCCCTTCTTCTTTCCATTCCTTCCCTTATTTATAGATATTTACAAGATATTTACAAATATTGACGGATTGCTGGATCTGGGCCTGTTCCTCCATAAGTCCTGGTCACCTTTGATGGGCTTATTCGCGTTCGGCCCATATGGCAGTGTCTTTTTATGGGCCGACCCAGCTGTACGGACCGGATGTCGTGCTTGCAAGTCAGATCCGGCCCATGTCGTCCTGGGCCTCCTCAACTTTGAATTGCATCAATACTAAAAACCAATGATAATAGGTAATTGACCAAAATCTGTGCCCTTGTAAAACAATAAATATATAAAGATTGGCTCAATTCATGGACCGGGCCAACGAGGTTTGTGGGCTCTGCTTAGTCTCCCAACTGGAAAATGATATAATTGATCACTTTAATATCCTACTTAAATCGATTAAATTTTCAAATTTTTCTTCTTTAAATTCCTCTCCTTGGTTTTTTGTTTATGGGAGTTTATTAATATTCACATAACGATCTCTTGCACTCAGTGGAGCAAGAAAATTCATCCGTACTTTTATAATAACCACTAGATTTAATCTAACGTCACATTCAAAACCCACCAATATAATTTCCTTTTAATACAAAACCACTATTCTTATTCCTAATTTCCAAATTTAATATCTATCAATACCACTAATTATAATAATAATAAATAAATACCAATAAAGAATCCTATTCACCGCTAGTGGAAAACACGTTTCTCTCAATCCAAGAACTAGAAAATAATGGATGAATATTACATTATTGTCTCTAATCTAGACTAATCTTAGAACAAACATTATTCTTCCTAATTTTTTTTTTTTTTTTTTTTCCTAATTTAGTTATATGTGTGACAAAAGTTCTGGTTTATAGGTTTTGGAAAGTTGTATTGCACAAGATTGGAAACATGACATGATCATAATTCACGCAAAAGAAAAACTAAGAGAAAAAAAATCGTAGATTATTATTTGATAGTACAAAAACTTAATAGAAATTCATCATGGACCAACAATTCATCCTTTTGAAATGTATTCTCCCTCCATTCTAAGATGCATCAGTGCAATCAATCAAAATAATGTACAAAGAAATACAATCGATCAGAATCGAAATTTTGATTTGTATTCTCCCTTAACCTATGGAACGTCTCATCACTAATCGAAATTTTTGTATTAAAAAATTTCAAGTGTTAGAAAATTAAATCCATGACTTGAATTGAATTTATGACTTGATACTAACCACGTTGCAAAATGTTTTATACTTGTTACACAATTGGTTTCTCATATAACGCAAAACAAAGGTTGTTATATGATTTTGTAATTTTTTTTTTTTTATATATTATTTTGACTGATTGCACTAATGCACAGGGCCGGCCTTGGCCCAAGGCGACCAAGGAGGTCGCCTGGGCCTCAGATTTTAGAGGGCCTCAAATTTTGAGGCCCATAGGGGATGGAAATAAAATAAAATAAAATAAGTTAGGGCAAGTTTCAGACGGCACAATCTGCTTCGACACTCCAAGGGCGCTGCCTCCTCAGGTGACAAGGTATGTTCATCCTCTCTCTCTCTCCCCTCTCTCCTTTTGCATGAATCGATCTTTTATATATGTTTCTTTCTTTCGTTCATCTCATCATTTGATTTGTTATAACTTTGGTTTGTTTGATTCGGGTCTTTACCTTTGTTCCAATAGTGAAAAGTAGCTTCCAAACTAGGGTTGTGTGTGTGTGATGGCTATCAAAAGCTGAATGAATATATTATGGTTCTCTTAGTATTTTAAAAAATGTGTGCCTTTCTACATGTGTCTTTCATATAATCTATGGCAGGTACCTTTTTTTTCCCTCTCCCTAAGTCCACTCCAATCTCACAACAGCAGCAACCATAACCCTTTTCCTCATAATTTTTTGCATTTTCACATTCAATCCCACGAAAATTAAGGATCCCTTCTAGTGGGTTGAGGTAATAATTAACTTTTTCGATCTCTAAATTATGCTCAAACTTAGAAGTGCCAAATTACGGGTTTTTTTATTTTTATTTTTATATGAAGATACATACCAGCATTATTGATGTTATTTGAAGTTGGCTCAGCTAGAATTTCAGTGAATAATACTGTCAAAGCACTTGCCATCAGAATGTACAAACACATGGAAATCAAGAACAGGCTTTAACAAAACAAAAGTTAATGGTTTTTTCTATTAATTTGCACAGGTCTTCTGTAGCAATGATCAATAAATCACTGCGGGTAATTGGCTCCCAAAAAAAACACATACAAAGTGTAGTGTAGTCACTATAAGGAGCGAAAGACAAAACTATATATGATAGTGGATGCCACATATAACCTAAAAGTCCCGCTACTTCTTCAGTACTACAAGTTCACCCTCCTATATATATATATATATATATAGTCACCTCATCTCCACATATTTTTGTTATCTGTAATCATCAAATTTTAGTAGCTATATAAACAATGAATGTAAAAGAAGCTGCAGTTTTCTATTCTCTACTAAACTGTTCTCTTCATTTTTTATTTTGCGTATGTGAAAATTTCGCACTCTTTAATTGCTAAATTTATTGTCATTAGTTAGCTGTCTTCTGCACATGCGCACAATTATTTATTGTTGGTGATAAAAATTTATAGTTATTAGATAGCTGTCTTAGGCACACTGCACAGACGCACAATTATTTATTGGTGGTGATAGATTTATACTTATTAGTTAATGTCTTAAGCACACTGTACAGGTGCACAATTATTTGTTGGTGGTGATAAATTTATAGTTATTAGTTAGTTGTCTTATGCACAATGCACAGGGGCACATATATTAGCTATAGAATTTGAAAACATCGTGTTAAAATTTTGCACTCTTATAATTCTTTTTTGCATGTGTGAAACTCAAGGGCCTCACATTTGAAAGTTCACCAAGGGCCTCTCAAAATATTTTGAATCTCAGGGCCGGCCCTAATCTCCGGTCAGTCATTCTCTCCTCTCTCGATCTCTTTTTCACTCAGAATCTTAAGGTTTATTTATTTCGATCAGTTTCAACATAGTTGTACACCTCTATCAATAAGACCATTCATAAATTGCAATCAAACATCAGTTCTTCAAATCCCATTCTTCTGCTCTTTAATCCCTTGTCCTACTTATAATTTTTGACGATTAATTTGCCACCACAACTATACAAATAATAAATTCTCATCACTTACAAGCGGAAAAACTCCAAACTCAAGTCGGTATTTTAAATTTCTTTCAATCTCTCCTTAAAACTAAGGTTTTTTTTTGTAGGTTATAAATGTATGATATTGTCTGTGTTTATTTGTTGTGAGCTTGTTTAATTGCTTCAAATTACTAGTGTATTTGATGTGTATTGTTTGTAAAAGCTGGTACCAGTAGTTATTGGGCTTAAACCTGGATGTTTTGTTTTGTAATTACTATTTATATACTAACGATAGATATTGATCACATATATTTTTTTAGAAGACTAAAGATTTCTTAAAACCTCTTTTCCTCTCTAGTTGGTGGCCTTTGCCAACTTTTCTTTGTTGAATTCTTTGAAAAAAATATCTAATATATCAGTGTCTTTGTCTTTCCCTCTTCGTTGTGTTGTTTTAGGTGGATGAATATGGAAAATGAAATGGCGTACAATGTTTTGTACTTTTTGTGTAAAAATATATTCCCTAATAACAATCAACCACTATCATGCCTGGACCTCACATAATTTTTACAAACCTATTTAATATAGGGTTTATTCCTTAATGCTCCCTTAGGTGTAGGAAGGTAAAAAATTGAATGGAAAGGAGAGAAGAAAGGATGACTGAGACATCCCTAGGGAAGCGTTTCCCCCTTTTTCTTCGGTTGGATGGAAGAGAATGGAAAAAATTGACAATTTAATTTGATAAATTTTTAAGTTGTTTTTACAATTAAACCCATCTCTTACTTTATTTATGGGATTTATTAAATATTTATGAAGGGTGATATAGTAATTTAAAACTTCTATAATAGGCTTACTTGTTTCTCTCTTATCTTCCGCCCATCCTTGGTTCGGTAGAGATGATATAAGAAAAGAAATGATAAGAGTAAGGATTCGTCCTTCACAAATTTTCCATCCGTACTCTTATCCTTTTTTTCCTTATATCATCTCTACCGAACTAAGGAAATTTATTCCTTCTTTCCTATTTTCCTTCCACCCCTCCTCTTACCGAACATATCATAATGTAGTGAAAAAGAGGGAGGAGAAAAAAAATATACAGATGTGACTGTGTAAAGTACACAACAATTTTACACATGGTGATGACATAAAAAAAAATATTTACACATCAAAGAGGTATGAATACTAATACAAACGTGTGGTTATAAGGGAAATTTATAAGGACGAGACTTGCTCTACCATTGATGTGGTTCAATCACAAATACATGAATAGTTTGTAATTACAAAATTAAAAAAGTGATAAATAAGGATAATAATTTTTATTTTAGAATAAAGTCAGTCACCCTATATTATTTCATTTTTCATGATTTTTTAATTGCAAACTAGTGGTGAGTTGGGATGACTTGTGACTAGGCAAGTCTTGTCCAATTTTTTTTTAAAAAAAGGCAAGTCTTGTCCAATTTTTTTTAAAAAGGCAAGTCTTGTCCAATTTAAAAAAGATAAATACTTATATGGTTTAAATGCATTACTTAACGTTGAATATACCCCCTCTCCTTAACTTAGGGTTTATATATATATATATATATATATATATAATGGCAGTAATATATTAAGATTTAAGAACCAGAAGAGGATTTTATGATTGAGTACCTTAATAAGCCATCTTGGGCAAATTGCAGGTGCATATCTCCGATCAGTCATTCTCTCCTCTCTCGATCTCTTTTTCACTCATAATCTTATGCTACGTTTGGTGTGCAGGAATGAAATGGAATGGAATATGCCTATTCCAACCATTCCTTTGTTTGGTATGCAACTTAAAGTAGGAATGACCATTCCATTGAAATGAAAATCCATTCCTGACAATGAAAATCCATTCCTGACAATGAAAATCCATTCTACAACTAAACCTATGAAAGGGCCATTCCATTCGCAAGTAATTTATTTTAAAAAATCGACTTCCCAAAACTAAACCTATGAAAGGGCCATTCCATTCGCAAGTAATTTATTTTAAAAAATCGACTTCCCAAAACAACTTCATATTTCAAGTCCAAAAACCAGCATTACCTTCCACCACAATCATCTCCGCCTTTCACCACCACCACCACTACCATTGCTTTCCACCACCACTGACTTTCACCATCGCCCACCACTTTCCGCAACCACCACCGCTACCGCCACCGTTTGCCGCAACCGCCACCGCCACCTTTCACCACTGTTATCACCACCACCACCACCTTCCACCACCACCACTGCTATTGCCTTTCACTACCTTCCACCACTATCGCCGCCATCGCCTTTCACCACTGCCACTACCTTTCACTACCACCACTGCTACCGCCTTTTACTACCACCACCGCTGCCATCGCCACAGCTCTACATTACCACCGCCGCCTTCCACCACCGCCTTCCACAACCGCCAACGCCGCTACCATCGCCTTCCACCACCGCCATTGCCTTCTACCACCTTCCATCACCACCTTTCACCACCACTACCGCCACCGCCACCATTACCACCATTGCCGCCGCCTATCACCACCACCACCACCATTGTCACCTCCTTCCACCACCACTACTACCGCCACTTCTATTGCCTTCCAACACTACCATAGTCATACCACTATCTCCTTTCACCACAACCACCACATCACTGCCATTGCCTTCCACTAACACCACTGCCACCTTCCACCACCACTGCTGCCACCAATTCCCACCATTGCCACCGCCGCTACCTTCCAACACCATCACGTACACTACTACTACTTTTCACCATCCATCACCGCTACTGCCACCATTTATTTTTAAAAAATTATTAAAGAATATCATTTTGTTATTTTAATTTCATTTATTTGTTACTAAGAGGGATATTTTAGAAAAATCAATTAGAAATTTATTCCATTCTAAATTTTAAATTGGTCTAACCAAACACTAAAATGATTATTATCATTCCATTCCTACACATTTCATATTTACAACCAAATAATAGAATGAGAATGACCATTCCAATTTCATTCCCACTTGCATTTCATTCTATTCCTGCACACCAAACGTAGCATAATTTAAGGTTTATTTATTTTGATATGATCCGTTTGAACATAGTTGTACACCTCAATCAATAAGACCATTCATAAATTGCAATCAAACATCAGTTCTTTCTTCAAATCCCATTCTTCTGCTCTTTAATCCCTTGTCCTACTTATAATTTTTGATGATTAATTTGGCACCACGACCATACAAATTATAAATTCTCATCACTTACAAGAGGAAAAACTCCAAACTCAAGTCGGTATCTTATATTTTCTTTCAATCTCTCCTAAAAACTAGGTTGTTGTTGTTGTTGTTGTTGGTTTTTTTTTTTTTTTTTTTTTTTTTTTTTTTTTTTTTCTGGGTTATATCTTAATGCTTCAAATAACTGTATGATATTTGTCTATGTTTATTTGTTGTGAGCTTGCTTAATTGCTTCAAATTACTAGTGTATTTGATGTGTATTGTTTGTAAAAGCTGGTACCAGTAGTAATTTGTTTTGTTTTGTTTTGTAATTACTATTTATATACTACGGATAGATATTGATCACATATATTTTTCAAGTCTTGATTTATTGAAAAAGACTAAAGATTTCTTAAAACATCTTTTTCTCTCTAGCTGGTGGCCTTTGCCAACTTTTCTTTGTTGAATGGTTTGAAAATATATCTTTTTCTCTCTAACTGTTTTAGGTGGATGAATATGGAAGAAATGACGTACGATGTTATCCGGTTGACAGTGTGTTGCATGTTAGCTGTTTTTAGTGTGTGCCTGGTCAACTTAACAAATTCCGCAGAATGGTTGAAAGAGCACTCGCCACCTCAATACTACACAGTTTTATCATATTCCTTTCAATTTGGGACACCATACTTATTCTTATACCTTTTACCAGTATCCTCGAAAGAATGAGGGAATCAGACAAGAATTTCCGAACTGAGTCTCATCCCCTGCTGCAATCTAAAGATCAATTATGCTAATAACATATAAATCCATCAATCACTCATGTTCTCTGTTTCATGTTTCATGATGTTATTGTTGAGTTAGTGTCTCTTCCTAGTAATTTATTTTCTATTCAAATATGTCTTCTTGTAGGTGTAATGCAATGGCACGATTTTGTTAGATTATTCACTTTTATATTGTGGTGTTTAATTTCCATGAGATATACCATGTATGTTGTGGTATTTCGGGAGATTATTCAGTTCTATATTGTGGTGTTTAATTTCCATGTATTTCAGAAATATCATGTTTTTGAGATCCAGATATGAAATTCATACTTCATTTGAATACTGGTAATTGAAAGTGTAAATTGCATCGACAGTCCCAAGGTATTCGTCAATGTCACATGTATACAAGCAACTTCTTGCTTGTGTACGTCGTTCAATGTGCAAACTTTCAAATTGCTTTATACGGGACAAGAAAAAAACAGCATTTTGATTGTTTTACTACTATCGCTTGGAAGAATTCATCGGACAAAAAAAAAGGCTGAAAGATTATTAAGAAACCTTTCTTTTAAATTATTACTTCAAGTGCTGCCATGGTTTTTATGGCTTATCTAAGTTAAAACTTGCAGATTTCTGATACTTCTTCCTAATTTGTTGGGAGTAGGCATGGCAACGAGGTGGGGCGGGGATTCCATTCCCCATCTCCCTCCCCGATGCATTTTTCATTCCCCATCTCCGCTTAAAATTTTGTCAGAATCCCCATACTCGCCCCTGCCCCCAACACTTTATCCCCGTCCCCGCTACGCCCCTAGCCTTGGCCTCATAATTTTTTTTATTAAAAAAAAAACACATTCTTTCTTCTTTTCATATATATAATAAATCTAATTTAATAATAAATTATTATATGTAAGGATGTATTAGTAACTTCACATTTAATCGGGCCGGGACGGGTCGGGTTTATCCCATCCCCACCCCTGCCCCGGCAGGGATTCATAATTTGTCCCCGTCCCCGTCCCCGTTTTGCTAAAAGGATCTTTATTCTCGTTATATACGGGGCGGGAATGGAGAATTTGCCATTCCTAGTTGGGAGCATATCCAAGTGGTAATTAATTTTTGTTTTGTCATTAAATACTCAGCGTGTTGTTGTACATTTTTGTAGTCTTCTAGTGCTATGTTTATCCTTATGTTGATATATATATATATCAAAATCTAAGATTTTACTGAAAACAAAGTCAATTGCCTGTGATATTTTATTAAATTAAATCTTACAGAAAGCATAAAACATCTAAAATAATTTCATAAGAACTAGTATGAGTTTTTTTTTTATAACACAGTATGAGTTACATCAACATCAATTATATAATTTAAAACTACCCTTCCTCTAACTCAAAGAAATGTATTGTTAATTTAGGATAATTTTCAAAAACAGGATAATTTATACGAGAGATTCAACTTTTTGCATTACTTTTGCAGAATCGACACTAATTTCGGGACCAACTTATTGTAGGTTTTGTAGTAGGC